AAAACTGATAAGTGAAGCAGGGGCAGAAAGAACCACACGTATTTATTTTTGTTAGTACTGTTGACATACAATAAAGAAAATAACTTTACCACTTACAGTGTAACCCTTTCTGATCTGTAAGTCTTATGTAGAACATGATCTTCATTAGTGGCAGTGGCACTAGCTTCACACGCAATTATCCAGAAATATCATAATACATTGATTTTGCCAAGCATGGTTTACTCAACCACATTAACACATTGGTAGACATGCTTATTATTGCTTTTTATTAAAGGTATGAAAAGTGAGTAAACCACTGAATTCAAAAATCTGTTGTCGCAGCTGACTGACCCATTAGATGCTGGAAGCTGTGTACACTTTAATCTAGTGTATAATCAACAAGACTTTTGAAAATTCTGTTAATGGAAAAAGATTGGATTCAACCCCAGCTCTACTAAAATAATTGATTCTGGAGAGGATAATAATGGATTATTACAAGTGAGCACAGGGACAATGAACTGTTGCTTCAATTGTATGGAACACAGATGAAACCATGCTTGGAGGATTGGTTGCAATCTGGTCCCCTTGCTGAAGGAAAGGTGTACACCGTAGAAGGAGTCTGGTGGAGATTCACCAGACCAATTACCAGGATAGTGGAACTGTTGTATAAGGAAAGGTTTATGAGACTGGGCCTGTATTATTTGGACTTTAGAAGATGAGAGACAATCTCATAAGAAATTTGTAAGTTTTTAATAGGTGTAGACAGAGTAAATGCAGAAAGAATGGTTCCTTAGGGAGGGCTTAGAACAAGGGTACACTGCCTCAGAATAAAAGGCAAGCTATTTAGGACTGTTTGAGGCTTAACTTCAATCAGGGCAGTGAATTTTTGAAATTCTAATGTTTGCTGTACAGTACTTCGTCTCATTCTGATGGCCTTCAAGGTAAAACTAGCCAATGATATTAGTCTCATTGGGTGCTTGGAGTTGTTGGACCATTATAGAAAAATAATCAACCTTGAGATACCTAGTTGCTGTACTGTGTCACCTTTTGGAAATCAAGACATCGTTTGAGAACAGATACCAGCTCAACTTTGAAGCATGTTGATTGAGATGGGAAGGTGTGGTTAATGTTTATTGCCCTGGTTCATAGAAGAAGAATGATTACTTGGCTGAGCTAGGGCAAGACAACTGGTGAACACAGCATTGCATGAGCCCATATAATACCTTTTGAGGAATTTGTTTGGCTTCCTCAAATCTTCAAATAACGCAAGTTTTTTTTTAGGACTAGATAATGAGGGAGAAGAATTTTTTTAATTAACTCAGAGCCTCATCTGTAAATTATCCTGAATTTTAGCAGTTCATTATAAAGCAGATATCTTCATTTATGTTAGCAGATGGATCCAAAGTATAATCTATACTTACTGAGGAAAGGTGAAAACTAAAGAGAAAAGAAAATTTGCAAGTAGCTTGAAGCCTTGAGGTTTGTGCGAGTAAGATATTTGTTTAAAAAATTTCAGACTGATTTTCAATGCATATCATTGGATCACTGTCTCTATTTTTAGTATTTCATTTCTCTACATTTTTTACGTGTTATTTGCTTTGTTCTACTTATTTGGTCTGATTTTTTCGATATTTTCAAAAATACTGCAATGCATTGGAAATAAATGTCGTTCAATGATTTTTTTTTTGTCCTCTATGCTGATTTCAAGCCAGATATTTTGAGAAAATATTTTGTTGCTGGCAGCAATTTTATGTAGAAGCCCTGCAGTGCGGAGAGAGGCCTTTCAACCCATTGAGTGTGCACTGACCCTATGTAGAATATCCCACCCAGAGCCAAACCCCCACTCTATCCCTGTAACCCTGCATTTATCATGGCTAATCCCCCTGACCTGGAGATCTCTGGATTCTATAGGACAATTTATCATGGCCAATCCACCTAACCTGCTCATCTTTGGACTGTGGGCAGAAACCGGAGCAGCCGGTGGAAACCCATGCAAACACGGAGAATGTTCAAACTCCACACAGACTGACACCCGAGGGTGTGATTGCATCAGGGACCCAGGTTCAGTGAGCCACCGTGCCACGCTTTTTGTTGCCCTTTTTCCTTGCTTAGAAACTGTAGAGTGGGCCAGATATGTGTCTGTCTGTGTTGCATTTCAGTTCTTTTGGAGGCTTCTGGCAATATTTGTCTGTCTGGGGTAGACTTCTCCTTGTTTTGAATTAATGAATTTATCTAAATGTGAATGCTTCCACCTTTTTGAAGTAGACCGAAAGCCTATAATTTGTAAAAATAGATTTCACTGCCCCAACTGATACACTCCATGTAATTAGAAACTGTGCAAAGTTCATTGACAGTGAGAAGCTTATGATGAAGTTTTAGATCAAGCTAGAATGGTGACCGCATTAATAGTTCGAGAGAGCATAGGTCATTTTGAACGTGTGAGATTTGCTTAAATGCACAGCTCCTCTTCTTTGCGCGGCCATGCCTGCACTATAATTTGAAGGGACCAACTCGTGTGCGGCCTGTGGATGAACTTTCAGGTTGCTGTGCAGCTGCACAGTTACAAGGGAACATTGGTGCTAGTCCATTTAAATGCAGATTTAGCTGTAAAATTCTGAGATTCATGGATAACACATTTCAATCTGTTAATTATAGGACAAAAACAACTCTTTGAATCAGTGGTCATATGAAATTTTCACTCCACACTGTAATGAATTCTCTTCCCAACAGCTTGCACTAATGTAATACTCCCAACATAAATCCCAAGGTACATATAATAAGATATTAGGACAAATGGCCAAAACCATATTAGCGGAGAAGAGAGAAATGTTGAGGTGGAGAGACTTCAGGAGTGAATTCCAGAACTTGGAACCTTGGCAGTTATGAAGGCGCAGTCACTGATGCTGGAGTTATTTAAAATTGAGGATGTGCAAGTGGCTGAAATTTGAGCAATGCATATAGCTTGAAGGGATGTAGGACTGATGGAGATTATGAAGACAGGCTAGGATAAGACAATTTGAGGAAATTACACATTACTAAACAAAATTAGTAATTTTTGTTATCTGGTGAGGAATGTTATTTCCTGTCTACTGCACAAAAAAATCTGCAAAATAACTCTTCTGTGTTTAATTAGAAAAGTGCCCTGGACCACCAGTTGCTGTGCATGGTAAAACACACGTTATTTCCCTAAGCTTTTCGTGTGGTCAGTTACAAATAATAATGGTATCTTTCAGGGAATGGTGTGAGCCGTTGACTGTAAAACAGTGTTGTTCTTCAGTTCACTAATTGATCTGGTGGATCTACATCTTTTCTTGTTAGAATTCTTTCTTTTAAGGTTTCTTGTTTTTATTTTGTCACTTGTATTGGAGAAGAAGGGAGAGGGAGATGCTTTCATTTGGCCAGCTCTGAAGGTATCTGGATGCTGTGCTCTGAGATTTGTAGCAAACTGCTGCTTGGTCAATTCAAGAGCTGTCATCATACGGTCTTTCCTTAATTCACAGACTCTTTGTCACTTTGTTTCAAAGTATCCCCCTCACAGCTTCGAAAAGCAACTTTGTCTTACACAGCCAAAATATGCACCACTTGATTTTTCCAAGTTGCAAAACTTTGGTAATACTGCTGCAGAGTGGTCGGACTTCCATTCCAGATTAAAGTTTGGTTTTTTTCATTCATTCGTGGGATGTGGGCGTCGCTGGCTGGACAGCATTTATTACCCATCCCTAGCTGCCCTTCAGAAGGTGGTGGTGAGCTGCCTTCTTAAATCGCTGCAGTCCACCTGCTGTGGGTTGAACCACAATGCCTTTAGGGAGGGAATTCTAGGATTTTGACCCAGCAACAGTGATATTTCCAGTTCAGGATGATGAGTAGCTTGGAAGGGAACTTGCAGGTGGTGGTGGGTACCTTGCAATGACATACTTTAGAAGAGATGTGATGGCTTTACGGAGTGGTGATGACCTAGTGATATTTTTGCTAGACTGATAATCAGAGACCCTGGCAATGTTCTGGGGATCTGGGTTTGAATCCTTCCTTGGCAGATGGTGAAATTTGAATTCAATAAGTATCTGTAATTAGGAGTCCAATGGTGACCATGCAGCATTGTTGACTGTCGGGAAAAATCTATCTGGTTCCCTAAGGTCCTTTTTAAGGAAGGAAACTGCCATCCTTAACCAGTCTGGCCTGCATGTGACTCCAGACGAACAGCAATGTGGCTGACAATAAATGGCCTGGCCAGTGATGCCCACATCCCGTGAATGAATTGAAAAAATGTTTCTAGAGATGAGGACTTTCAGTTAAAGGGATAGATTTGTGCAACTGGGGTTCCACTTAAAGGAGTTTGAGGGTTCTATATAGAGAGGAGGTTCTCCCGTTAGCAGAAGGCTTGAGAACCGATGAAAGAATCAAAGACAAAAGGTCAAGTTTTTTTTCCCTGTAGCGAGTGATGACGAACTGGAATGTATTGCTTCAAAAGATGATAGAGGCAGATTCAATTTTCTTTCAAGAAATTTGATAATTAGCTAAAGGGGTAAAAAGCTGCAATAAAGGCTGGAGATTACTCAAGCAATATCTTTGTTTCAGAGACTGCTGTGGACTCATCTGGTGAAATGGACTTTAATACTGCTTCTATTATGTGATTCTATAAATGTACTCTTGCTTTTCACAGTAATGACTTCAAATTTGAGCACCATCAATCCACTTCCTAGTGGAGCAGCTTCTAAATCATAAATTGCTGTATTTCAACACTCAAGGATTACAAGACCATTGGTGAAACTGCATTTGTTCGTGAAGAGATGCAGTAGTTATGCTTTTGAGATTGGGTGAACCTTTGTTGTACTGTTCAAAGAGTTCTTGATACTGACAGAACCAATTTTTTTCTATGATACAAAATTTATTCTATACGTTGTAATGATGATTTACAGATATGAAATATCTTATTGTTAACTTATTTACAAAGTGAAATTTAAGTTTTTGAAACAATGTTTCAGAGTTGTGTAGATTCTGTGTTCTTTGTTCTGCAATTTCAGGTTTGGATTAAGCAACAAATTTGAATCAGAATTCCCTTCATCGTTAACAGGAAAGGTAAATCATTATTTTATTTTCTTGAGTCACGGTTCCATTTGTTGACGATTGAGGTACAACTTGTAATTGAACACTTCTTCAAAGCTAGGAATCTTTAAAGTACATTAAATGGGAGTATTATCAATTTTTTTAAACAGGTCTGTAGCTTGTTAAATGGGCAGAAATGACTTTTAGTAGGATAATGTGTTCTTCCTGTCCGATGTGGGAAATCATGGAGAATTTGAATGTTCCTGGAGACTGTCTAGGCAGGAGGTTAAGAAGTAGGTCCTTGAGGGTAGTTATATCTGGACTACTGCTAGTGAGAGTAGGAACAGAAGGATAGAACAGATGAGTATGTGACTGAGGAGTTGGTGCAGGGGACAGGGATTCACAGTTTGGACCATTTGAGATCCCTTCAGGAGTAGCATAAGAGCTTGACTTGACTTCCACTTGACATGGAAGGGAGCCAATATCATTGCGGGGAGATTCACTTGTGTTGTTTGGGAGGTTTTAAACTAGGAAAGGGGAGAACCAAAGCGATAGTGAGAAAAGGCTGAGGCTGGTACAGTAGCTAAGGGGAGCAAGTCAAATAGTCGGTGCAGACAAGAGCTAGGCAGAAAATGAGGTAAGACGAATAAATTAAGCTGCATTTACTTCAATGCAAGAGGCCTGACAGGTAAGGCGGACGAGCTTAGGGCATGGTTGGGAACATGGGACTGGGATGTCATATCTATTACAGAAATGTGGCGCAGGGATGGACAAGACTGTAGATGCTACAGGAAGGTTAGAAAAGGGGGCAAGAGAGGAGGTGGGGTGGCGTTTTTTGTTACGAATAATATTACAGCTGTACTTTGGAAGGATATTGCTGGGAGATCGTCTAGTGACGTTATGTGGGTGGAACTGAGAAATAAGAATGGGATGATCATCTTGTTGGGATTGTATTATAAGCCAACTAGTAGACAGTGGGGAATTGAGAAGCAAATATGTAAGGAAATCTGATATTTGTAAAAAAAAAAAAAAGGTAGTGTTATAATAGTAGGGAATTTTAACTTTCCAAACACAGACTGGGATTGTCATAGTGTTAACGGCTTGAATGGGGAGGAATTTAAGTGTGTACAAGAAAACTTTGTTATTCGATATATGGATGTACCTACTAGAGAAGGAGTAATACTTGATCTTCTGTTGGGAAATGAGGCAGGACAAATGACTAAGATGTCAGTGGGGGATAATTTTGGGACAAGTGATCATAATTCTGTTAGTTTTACAATAGTTAGGGAATAGGATAGAACTGATCAAAAAGTTGAATTTCTAAATTGGTTAAGGCCAATTTTCAAAAGTTGATTGGAGGCTATTCGCAGGTGAAGAGATGCTTGGGAAGTGGAAGATCATCAAAAATTAGATAACGAGAGTTCAGAAACAGTATGTTCCTGTCAGTGTGAAGGGCAAGGCTGGTAGGTGTAGGCAGTGCTGGATGACTAGAGAAATTGAGGCTCTGGCTAAGAAAAAGAAGGAAGCATTTGTCAGGTATAGACAGCGGGTATTGAATGGATCTTTAGAGAATTAATAGGGCAGCAAGAGAATATTTAAGCGAAATTAGGAGGGCAAAAAGGGGACATGAGGTAGCTTTGGCAAATGGAGTTAAGGAGAATCCAAAGAGATTCTATAAGTACATTAAAGGCAAAAGAGAAACTAGGGAGAGAACAGGACCCTTTAAAGATATACGTGGCTATCTGTGTGTGGAACCACAAGAGATGGATGAGATATTAAATGAATATTTTGCATTAATATTTACTGTAGAGCAGTACGTGGAAGCTAGAGAACTTGGGGAAATCAATAGTGATGTCTTGAAAAGAGTTCATTTTACAAAAGAGGTGGTGCTAGATATCTTTAAAGCGTATAAAGGTAGATAAATTCCTAGGACCTGATCAGGTATTTCCCAGAATTTTGTGGGAAGCTAGGAAAGAGATTGCTGGGCTTCTTGCTGCGATATTTGTATCTTTGACAACCACGGACGAGGTGCCAGAAGACTGGAGGTCAGCTAATGTGGTGCCATTAGTTAAGAAGGACTGTAAGGAAAAGCCAGGGAACTATAGACCGGTGAGCCTGACGTTGGTGATGGGTAAGTTGTTGGAAGGATTCTGAGGAACAGGATTTACATGCATTTGGATTAGGGATAGTAAACAGGCTTTGTGTGTAGGAAATCATGTCTCACTAACTTGTTTGAGTTTTCTGAAGCGGTAACAAACTAGATTGATGAAGGCATAGCAGTACATATTGTCTATATGGACTTCAGCAAAGCATTTGACAAGGTTCCGCATTGTAGACTGGTTAGTAAGGTTAGATCACATGGAATCCAGTGGGAGCTAGCCTGTTGGATACAAAATTGGTTTAAAAGTAGGAGACGAGTGCGGTGGTAGAGGGTTGCTTTTTAGACTGGAGGCCTATGAGCAGCGGCATGCCATAAGGGTTCGTGCTGGGTCCACTGCGCTTTGTCATTTATATAAATGATCTGGATGTGAATGTCGGAGGCCTGGTTGGTAAATTTGCAGATGACTCCAAAATAGGTATTGTAGTGGGTAGTGAAGAAGACTAACTCTGAGTACGACAGGACCTTGATCAGATGGGCCAGTGGGCTGAGGAGTAGCTGATGGAGTTTAATTTAGATAGGCATTGCATTTTGGTAAGGCAAACTGAGCAGGACTTGTACAGTAAATGGTATTGCCCTGGGGAATGTTGTTGAACAAAGAGACCTAGAGGTACAGGTTCATAGTTTCTTGAAAGTGGATTTGCAGGTAGATAGGGTGGTGAAGGAGGCATTTGGTATGCTTGCCTTCATTAGTCAGAACACTGAGTATAGGAGTTGGGACATCATGTTGCTACTAGACAGAACATTGGTGAGGCCACTTTTAGAATACTGCCTACAATTCTTGTAGCCCTTCTATAGGAAGGATGTTGTTAAACTTGAAAAGGTGAAAAAATTTACAAGAATGTCGCTGGGAAAGAAGGGGTTGCATTATAGGGAGAGGCTGAATCGGCTGGAGCTTTTTTGCCTGGAACATTGGAGGCTGAGGGGTGATCTTAGAGGTTTATAAAATTAACAGGGGCATGGATAAGGTGAATAGCCAAGGTCTTTTTCCTACGCTGAGGGAGTCCAAAACTAGAGGGCATAGGCTTAAGATGAGAATGGAAAGATTTTAAAAAGGACCTGAGAGGTAACTTTTCCATGCAGTGTACGGAACGAGCTGCTGGAGGAAGTGGTGGAGGCGGGTACAGTTACAGTATTTAAAAGGCATCTGGATAGGTACATGAATAAAAAGAGTTTAGAGGAATATAGGCCAAATGTTGGCAAATGGGACTAGGTCAGATTGGGATGTCTGATCAGTGTGGATGAGTTGGACCGAAGAGTCTGTTTCCATGTTGTATGATTATATGCATCTATAACAGAAGTCTTAAAGTTACATCAAAGCCACATATTTTTTAACAGTCGAACATGAGACAGCTTACCCAAGTGCAAGAATCATAACCTTTCTGATTAGCAGATCATAAAGATATGTAGGAACAGCGCCATTTTTATGGCTATGCATAATTACATCATATATAAAAATAAGGTAGTGATTGTGCCTTGAATCATTTACTGTGTCAATTCTGACCAAACTGAAAGGTTGAAATACAGGTGTAGTCATCTTGGATGATTGGGTTTCTCTCTGTTCCTGGACATTGTTACCTCTTTAATTCATTTTACTCAGATTGTTAACAAATTGAGGACATGCAGCAGTTTCACAACTGTGCTTAGGTTGTTGGCGCATAATTGGCCAGTATCTAGAAAATTCTAGAATTAAAGCTTCCTTTGTCCACTATCTTACTCAATTCTGTCATTTTTCTTTGCAATTTTAACTTTTAAGAATGTTGTTTTATCCGTCTGATTTAAATATTAGCAAAATAAAGTGTTGTGTTAATTGTATAATGTGTGTAGGTGCCATTAAATTGAGCTTTTGTGCCTAAAGAGAAGGGTGGGTAAAAGAATTGGACTTCATTTAATGCTTGAAGGTTTTGCCACAAGGTAGATGAGTTAATGATATAACTAGAGATGAACTGATTTGATCTAATAGCCATTATACTGGAGGGTTCTTATGGTGTAGTATACTTAGAGGCCTAGGCTCAAGTTCTGTCTGCTTCAGTGATATGTAACAACGTTTTTAAAAGATTAGTTAAAAATAAATAGCAATTAGGCTATTACAAAGATGTGCTTGTATGGTGACCAAGACTGGGAGTTAAGTATAAAGCTGTTTGATGTATTTTTAAAAAGTGTAGTTGCCATGATAATAAATGATGGGATAAAGATAGTGGTGAGATTAGGCTTGGAGAGCAGGAAGTAGAATTGGTATAGGTAGGAATGTGACGTAACTGGGATCAGAAACACTAATAAGAGTAGTTCATGGGTCTCTGGAACAGTAACCCTACTGTTATACATTAATAATCAAGCAATAAAAGGGACTTGTGAACGATGCAGTGTAGTAGACACGACGATTTGTAATCTTCATGTAGACTGTCTAAATGTAAAAGAGAGATAATGCATTTATGGCTTAGTAGGAAGTTAAAGATAACAAAGGCAAAACTAGGCATACCTAATTGCAAAAATCAGTGGCAAGCAGGAGGATTGGGAAATTTATGAAGACCAACAAAGGGTTGCTAAAAAAGTAATTTAGAAAAACAGATAATTTATGAAAGAAAACTAGATCAAAATATAAAAACTGATAGCAAGAGTTTCTATAAGTATATGAAATGGAAGAGAGTAGCTAAAGTGAATCTTGGTCCCTTTGACAACAGGTAGAGGAATTAATAATGGGGATCACAGAAGTGACAGAGACACTAAATCAATATTTTGCCTCCGTCTTCATGATGAAGGACCCTGAAACCATCCCAATAGTAACAGGTAATGCAGAGGTTACAGAAAAAAAAGACTTAAAACAGTTGCCATCACTACGAAAAAATACTGAGTGAACTATTGGGATTAAAGGCAG